ACGCGGGCAGCTGCGAGAAACTGCCTTTATATTTGTGTGCCTATTTTTAGACACGGCATTTGGAGACTTATCGCGTGCACATTCGGACAGTAGTCACGAATTATGAAAGCTCATTCCACACGCGGTCATTATCCCACACCAATGGGCGAAATTAGCTTACAAATACCAGCGCCGGCGGTGTCTATTATTTCCGGGCGAATTAGCCGGTTCAAAAGTCGGCACCGCGCCGCGACTGCAATTCCATTTCCCCGACGAGAAGGGACCGCGCTCGCGTTTTATTTCGTCGGCGGTTTCGGCGGTGGCGTCGATGATATCGGCCGAGACGGCCAATTAAAAACGTATCAGCCAACCGGGCGCTTCGAATTTGAGCGCCGGCCGAATTGAAGCACTCCGAGAGCGCCGGGTTTCGCTCTCGTCATCTCGCACAGTTCGCATAGATCGCGATCTTGATGGCACAAAAATCTGAAATCCAGATATATACAGAAATGTGATTTTCATGTTTCAGAACAAAATGTCCTTGCACAGCTCAGATGAGAAATAAGAGCTATATCTCTGTAAATTATTTATTAAAAATTACGCTTCTATATATATATATATATATATATATATATATATGTATATCTATAAATATATGTATACTCTCGTATTTCTTTTTTGCCTCCAATTCATATTTTGATATTTTTCATATTCTCGTAATATAGTGTTCCAACTTTATTTTTGCGTAGTTTTACAAAGAGAGAAACGTCAAACCTGGCGATATTGATTAGCGGGATTTTCCCTCGTCAGAGATGCGCTGTCAGAAGGAACTAAAAATAATCAGCGCGTGAGCTGTACTAAAGTTTCATAGGTGCATCGTGCTTGCGACAGCGCCGTTAAGGATCTCAACAAGGGAGACAACAGCGAACGATAATGAGGCGTACAGTTCACGCGACGATAGAATTAAGCGTATCTCGCTAATAAGCCAAATATAAATTATAGAGTCAGCTTACCATAATAATTTGTATTGTCACGTGATTGACGCTTTTACTCTGCCAATCTAGGGGTCGGCGGCGCTTAATTGGGCTGTCATTACGCCGCCTTGTGGGACGCGGGACTCGATTTAAATTACGTAAAACGATAGCGCGACGTTAACGATCAAGTGACAACGTGTGTAATCCTGAAATTATTTTCCCCGTCGCGCCTTCGTTTCTTGCAATTCAGAGCCCGTGCACAAATCGGCCGTAGCCGAAAAGTGAAAAGTAATTCTTCTCTCTCTCTCTCTCTCTCTCTCTCTCTCTATCTCTATCTCTATCTCTATCTCTATCTCTCTATCTCTCTATCTCTCTCGATGAGTTTCGCGCGTTTTGTCGTCTGATAACGGAATATTCGCATCCCGCGTCTCGATAATAGCCAAGTATCGAGACACATCCCCGCCGATATTGAGTGTCTTTTGTCATTGATACTTCATCGTACGAACCACGCGGAATATTCGATATTATCCCCAAGTATCGTAAGCATCGCGTGTCTCTATACCCACACACACGTTGCTCCCAGCCGGGATCGAATTCCGACATCGAATGAGAACCGCGACCGTGAGAGCCACTGGCGCGATCCCGCGGGACCACTGGGAGCAGTGGGAAGCCTCTGTACCCGTGCTGGGGCTATACCAGGCTACGCCGTAGAGAGGGAGCTCCCCAAGGAGGTAATTACCCTCCCTGCCGCCGCCCGACCACCCACAAGCCATCGCAACTTCAACTCCTGCCGGAGTTACATGCTAATACAAAACCAAAACCGGTTCCCAACAGCTTCGCTCCGGCCGTCAAATTCCCAAAATTCATATACATACGCATCTATATATGTGTGTGTGTGTGTGTGTGTGTGTGTGTGTGTGCATGTAAATATATAAATACATACACACATGTGTATATGTACTGACGACAGCAACACGCGTGAAAAATGATGCTGAATGTCGCGATGCAATCGATTCGAGTATTTACGCGTAATATCTGACCGCTGGTGCGTTTAGCGTGTGTCGCATCGTGAGGATCCATGTAGAAATTGGGGTCGCATTTTTTTCGTTTTTGCCCGTGATACCGATTGAAATATTTTCCTCGCACAGAGCATCGCGCAAAAGGCAAAAAGAAAAGAGAGAAAAACAAAAAAATACCGTTATCCGTTTGTATCAAAGAACCGACGTAGCGGACGATGTCGACTGCATCGCGTCGTATTATGTGCATACGCTTCCGTACGAAACAGAAATTTATTCATGCGGAAGAAACGCAACTATGCGCGCAAAAATACGTACGCTTTAAAAATAAAAATGCGATGGGATTAGTTTCGTACATAAGGATGAAGAATAAAAGAATGAATGCGTGACAACTATGGGAGCATTAGCGGACCGTATCGTCGCGCGAGTTACGTCCTTTTCGCGTTTCACCGCCCCTCTTTCTTTCCAGGAGCAAAATAGCAACAATAATTATTTCTCGCGAAGAAACCTTTTTGCATCGTCATTTATTTTTTCTTTCCAATTTCCTGTGTTCCGTTTCGTGTCGCGCAAACAAACGAGGAGAACGCAGAGTTTTTTGTTTCTCCACAGCGGCACTTTTATATATTTCGCCTGAAATTTTTATTTTATATTTCACATTTGTATCGCGGTGCGCGATGTCGCGCGATACAAATTCGTTTTTTTTTAATTGGCGAATTTATTTGTTGCGTCGTACGCGCAACCACCACCGAAACGCCGCGCGCCGCACAATAATACAAGCATATTACGATTTTACGTTTGCAACGCGCATAACACTCGATAACATTCTCGCCGCGCGGAATATCGGGTGAAATAGTTCGATTTAGGATGACGCGATATGTGGATACGATTTTCGCAAACGAGACAGAGCCTCCCGATTTCCCGGGTTTCGCTCGGTCGCTCGCTCGCGCGCGCGCGCGCGCGCGAATTAAATATTCGACGCGCAATCTAGGGCGTCGCCAAAAATTCACGCGATTGCGTCTCGAAGTGAACAGCCTGCACTCTCTTCTCTCTCTTTCACTCCTTCTCCCTTCTCCCTCTTTCACGCCCCTTTCCTCTTTCCTTCTGCTTCTGGCCCGCTCGGTGCGTTTCGGTAACAACGACAAACTGATTACCAACGTGGCGTCCCAAGCGCGGCCTTGGAACTCCCAAAAGTCATACCCGTAAAAAAGGACTATTGTGCACCGCGGACTTCCGGGTTATTTATACGAGTTATCTCGTCCCCGAAGCGGCGCGAACCGCGCGCCGTTGCGCCGCAGTTGCAACTGCAATGTTCGCGCTGTGACTTACGAGCGATGATAATTCCAGCAGCTTGAGTGCCCGGCTTTTCGTTTCGCAGTCTTAACGTTTTATTCCGCCGCGGTCCTTCGCGCGGTGTGTCTTATCAATGAGTTATTCGCAGCGGAGACGGAAGCAACACGAGAGAACGACCAAGAAATTAAGCAAAGGTCGCGATGGCTGCGACTCGCGGTAGGTTTAAAATGAAAATTGTTGCACCTGTTCGAGAGCGGTGATCACGATAATCACGTATCCTTCACTGACGAGGGAAGGAAAGTTTGGTCCACGCGCTCACCAAACGCACCCTCCTGTACGTTAAATGATTTCCATGCTTTTGAAAAAGATAATTCAAACTTTTATTTATATTGTGCATTGTGCAAAATTTCCAAACTGTTTAATAAACAAGTGGAAGCAATATCCTTCCTCACGTAATCTTGGCGTGTCAATCCCCTCATTCGAATGATCGAAGCGTATATTATCACATATTTCGCTTTTAAAGATTCAGGTTCCGAAGAAACCCGAAGATTCTCACACAACGATGACTCGCGAAGCATTACGCACCGAATTAAAAGTTCAAAGTTAACCGCGGCTTCGCCGCTGCCTCCGCTGTCGGAGAGTAAACACATCTCTCACATCTCAATCTCCCGTGAGTGGCAACTTGTCCCACCCTGTATGTCCGGGGGATGTTACGGCACCTAATAAAAATAATCCCACGATACACGCGGGATACGTGCGGAGAGTGTTTTATCATCGGCAGGCTAATAAAACCGCGCGATAAACAGCATGCGTCGTCGCCACCGCGATACCGCGTCACTCTCCATCCCTCCGCGTCGTCGGAGACGTACAAAGAACGGAATGTAATTTTTCCTCCTTCTTTTCGTCTTATCGACACGAAGACGCGAGAACGTAAAGTTCGATTATCGACGCGACTCGACGACGCGTCGGCCGCGGTTGTTTCCCGCAAGTTGTGCTTAAAGTCGCGCGTATCCCGGTGGGAAATTTGAATTTTGGCCGGACTTCCTTCGCGTGTGCGCGCCCGCGCGCACGTGTGTGTGTGTGTGTGTGTGTGTGTGTGTGTGTGTGCCGGTCCAAGGCGGTTCGGTCTCCTATGCGCAGGAATGGGCTGTGGGAGCCAATATCACCGGGGTATGGCTCCCGCGGGATCACCGCCGCTCTTTTCCACCCTTTCCCGTATTATTCGCGTCCGCGCAAGCGGCATCATCTGCGGCGGCATAGGCTGCCGCGCATATCTCTGAGCTCGTTCCGCTCGATCGCCCGAAATCCCATGAAATTTCAATGCGGAATCCCTATTAAGGGCTGCCTGTGAGCAGGTTACGACCGTGGATCTCCGGCCGCCCTCGGTGGCCGGACGGCAAGGGACGAATGATACGGCGAAAATGATTTAGCTACGCGTACCATCTTTATCAAATCCGAGCCTTGAACCTTAAACGTGCGCGAGTTTCGGTCATGAGAGAGATTTACATCTTCTTCTCGGTATTTGTGCTTTCTCCTCGGAGAATGTGCTCTTCTCTTTCAGAGAGAGAGAGAGAGAGAGAGAGAGAGAGAGAGAGAGGCAGCGGCCAAGAAATGTCTATATTGTTATCTCATCTCTTGCGAGTGGCCCAAAATTTAGTTTAGATTAATCAAACATATTGCACATGTCTGAATATATAACTAAGCTACATATACTAATCGCGGAAACTTATTTCTTTTGTTTTAGACTACCTGCGAGATGGCAGACCAACTTCCGTCCAAGGTCCTGATCTGGAAAATCACAACAGCCTCGATAGCGGTGAGTTAAGTTTGTTCATCTCGAGTTTGGATACGTCAAATATCAAATCGAAATGAATTAGCCAAATTCTCTCATAACTTGACGGGACGTGAGAGTAGGCATTCGCCGCACCTTCGAACTTTTAACTTCGAACTTTTAACAATTATATCCTTTCGCCTCGCGATAATTAAACACGTCTGGAATCGTCGAGATTACATAAAGGCGGTTCTTACTAATCCAAAGACTCTAATAGGCGCCCTATCGGGCGGTAAAAAGGGGTCGCGGACCCTTTGTGTTTAAGATTGCTCGTTTCGACTGGCAGGAAATTTAGGGATAGGATCCTTGAGTGACGGGGATAGGTAGGCTTGCGGCGGAAGGAGGACTTTAAAGAGAGGACTTTGCGAGAAACTTTGAGTTACGATATTTGGACTCGAATATGGTACACAGGTTTTCGCTTTGACATCGTAGTACGAATCGACCAAGGTAGAATTGATCTGGGAGGAGGGGAACCATATTTTTATCAGGCTCAAAGAGCCTGAGGGGGACTTCCTTCGAAACAGTGTTAATGCATTTAACTTGACATGATTATAATTTCCGCCAGCTCACTCCCAATTGCGGATATTCCCAGCAAAATTGAAAATTTCGACACAATATCTATTTCTCATTCGTCTTTGCAAATAAACAAGTGAAAAAAAATGGAGAGAGAGAGAGAGAGAGAGAGAGAGAGAGAGAGAGAGAGGAAAGTCGATGCAAATATATTGCAATTTGCTTGGATTGCTGAGGATTGTCACTTCGTATATTTCTGCGTGCGTGACACACACATCACATCGATTGTAAGACATGGCTAATGCGCCAATACGAAGCTCCGAGTGCTCCGAGAAATCGTGTTACTCGGCATAGCCGAGTTGTGAACAGATAGTGCTCTCAGCAGCCTTCTCGGTACGCGAGACACAGATACAATAGTCTCATGCATTCGACATATGCTTACTGTAACTCTATTACCTCGCAACAGTCGAAGCTTCGGTAAGGGACGGAGGGATTGAGCCGACTTAAGTTGACTAATCTCTCTTTGGCTCAGCCGTACCGGACGAGGCAGTCGTAGTAGATAAATCAGTACTGAGTAGACAGTAGGCTACGTAAGATCAATCGTATATATATGGTATACTTACTCTCCCTGAATCTATCGATCCCGAACGGCACGATCATTGAGTGATCGCGATGTCATTCGTCATTTACGTGAGATTAAGACAAACCATTGCGCGCAAACGAGTGAGCCGAGACTCGCGAGAGTGATTATTCCTTCTTCGAATTTTTCAACTTACAAACTCGGCGGTAATAACTGCCAATTTCCGCGATGGTCAATGGTTCTACGATGTCCATGCAACATTCTTCTTTGCTTGTATACCTATCTATCGTACCAAGTGCAGTCCGAGTTCGCCTAGAGTTAGACATCAACCGAAAGCGTTCGATATGTCAGCGGAAAGATCTTGCGGAAACGACTGTGTACCGATGTCGTTAGCTCAAATCGGAAATTCGTGGAGGCTTTCCTCTCTCTCTCTCTCTCTCTCTCTCTCTCTCTCTCTCTCTCTCTCTCTCTCTCTCTCTCTCTCTCTCTCTTTCTCTTTCGTCTACCTTCCTGCTCATGGGCCCGAGCCCGTGGTGCAGCTCCCCGATGACTGCGCAATAATTGGAGGATTACCGCTTTCATGATGGCTAACGAGTTTCCGCGAATTTGACATACGCTTATACACGGTGATTCGATTAGCGCGGGCTAACAGAGAGATCGGGCTTAGTCTGGGACAGACGAAGTTGACCGGGTCTGGTCGACTCAGGGCGGCGAAAAGGGGCGGTCGACAGAGAGGGTGGTCGGTTTGCCAGCTTGGCCGACGGCTAGCCAGCTAGCTAGCGCACTCCTGGGAAGACGTAAATGTGTCCCTTTAGTGCCAGCTTTCGTCCTACGATACGTCCGCCAAAGGGCTTGGCCACTCTCCTTCTCTTCCTCTCCCCCACCTCCCTACCTTGTCGCTACATCTCTCTCTCTCTCTCTCTCTCTCTCTCTCTCTCTGTATGACTTTCGAGAGAGCGTGTATCTCAGAATTCACCGACGTACAGGATTCGCCGCAGGATTCGTGCGCGATCGCTCTCGCTTCTTCGCGTCTACTGATCGAGACACCGTGACCCTTACCAGCAACCAACTTGCTCCGATGTAAAGCCGGAAAATCGGATGTAAATACATCGGTAAGCTGTACAAAAGGGCTCACGAGTTCATAGTTTATATGATCTTACCGGTGACCACCGGAAGCCACCGCGCGTTGCACGCATCTCGGGAAGCATCTCAAGTTTGGTCTATAACTGCGAGACGAAATGTGAACAGTCTGATTTCTTTTTTATTGATCGAACAGATCCTAAGATTCACGACTCCTAACCTGTATCACGACACATGGTCGTGATACAGTTGCTTTTATTTCTTCAATTGAATTATCTCAACGATTCTTTCGTTCCAAGTAAGGCGGGCTCTTATTGTACAATTCTAAATAGTACACCGCTTGCTGAGAGACAAGACAAGAGACTAACAGCGAATTAGACGTAAACGCGCACCGAGCAATTTCCGCAAATTGCCGCGGCTGCGTACCTTTTTCCCCTTCGCGAGGGCGCTTCATCCTGCATCGGGGTTTAGATCGGGATAAGTTCGCGCGCGCACCACGCACAAAGGGAATGTGGTAGCAACTGTACTGCAGTATGAAAGGACTAGATTTAATGGCGGTTACAGCAGACGCCATACGTACGTACGTGTGGCAGTAGTTTGTACTTAGAGATGCGCAAGCCGAGCTTGTCGGACGAGCAAACACTTAATTAACCCTTCAAGTTAGCGCTCTCTAGCCTCTCCGCTTCTTCTCTCTCTCTCTCTCTCTCTCTCTCTCTCTCTCTCTCTCTCTCCCTCTCCTCTTCCTTCCTTCTTCCCTCTTCCCCGCCCTCTTTTGCTCGCTGCTCGCTACGTCGTCTTCTACTGCATTTGAAATGAAAATAGTACTTTACCCTCTATGCGGTAGAATCCGGCAAGATTCATTGGGACTCACCGCGTTGACCGCGGCGGTACAGTCAACTAGAATATACTTCGGAGAGTGGAGCGGCAGTGTAGGAAAATAATTCACTGATTCTCAGTTTCTCACGCAACTAGTCTCTGAAGAGTCACGAGTCACGAGTCTTGGGTAATCTGGCGATTATGTTAATGCTTCTTGAACATTTCGAAAGGAATCTTCGAATTCAAATGTATCAACATAGATGTTAAAATGTGTTTCGATTCAATTGTTACAATACATAGTGCATGAAATAAGGCAGAATCGTGTATCATTATCTATCCTCGGTACAGCGTCTCTATCTGTTCTGTGTGTAACACAGCCAAGAGCCGAAGATTTTACAGGTGCATTTGCATCGCCAAGACCGATATTCCGAAACCAAAGCTGTGGGATCACCACGCAAATTAAAAGCAAGCAGTTTCAACCCCTTCTCGCTCTTATCACAGCTGAGACAATCGAGGAGGAGAGAGAGAGAGAGAGAGAGAGAGAGAGAGAGAGAGAGGGAGAGGGGCAGTCACCTACGCCGACGAAGGGCGTCGCGTCGCGTCGCGTAGGTAGGTAAGTTCGGGCTCTCGTCCCCGCGGGCATTCTCAGATTCGCGGAGATCCCAATCTCTTAGGCGGGTCGCATCTCTTTTCGGTTCCAGTCAGTCAGTCACTCGATCCCGCCGCTCACCCCTGCCTCTCACACCTACCCCCGTTGTGACCCCCGCGTGCTCTATACCCGGGAGACCCATTGCAACTTTAAGCGCCTCGCATTACGGGCGTTCGACTCGTTTCTCTCGATTCGGGCTTCGCCCGAGGCCGTTCCCTTCTTTTCCGCTCTTAATTTAGCCATCTACCACTAACCTTCACCGGTCGGGTCGTCTACGCTGCTCTCCACCACCACCCTTCCCCCCACGAGGAGCCGAATTCATTTCAGATGTTTATCTCCGGCGGGAGAATCAGCTGAAAAACGAATTAAGCTCGGGCGATCGTGTGAGTTTCCTCGCAAGATCGAATGTCCGGAATCGTTTTTGACTGATACCTGGTCGCTTTACCCCTGATATTGATTCATTTTCTAATGACAAATGCCGCCAGGAATTTTCTCGCAAAGTTCGTGTTCGCGTCGACACGAATAAACACGAGCGATATTCCCAGCGACGGATTGCCTCTTTTTATTCCACTCCAGACAATACGAGCGGAGAAAACATTGATGAGTATTATTAATTTGCGCGGAAAACGATAGTCATTGATGGATGTTTCATTTGCGCGAGAGCTCGACGCATACTGTGCAAAATGTGTGTTATTTCTGTGAGACCCTCACAATGCGTATATCAATCAACGGATGCTCATATCAAACCAGGGTATTATTTTAATAACAACAGGCCGAACAAATAATTTCAACTCTTTGCCCGTTTCGCTAGCTGATCAATTATTGAAAGTTCGAAATGAGATAAATAATTAATTATTCACAAGTAAATGAATTACACAATGAATCTCTCTCTCTCTCTCTCTCTCTCTCTCTCTCTCTCTCTCTCTCTCTCTCGCTCGTTTTCGATTTACGAGACTGGATATTTTAAATTATAATTAGTCAGTCGTAATTAATTTGTAATTAGTCAATGGAACCTTTTCAATCATGCAGGCGATTTCGGGCGAATCCGATCGAATCCCCGCGACGCGCGAATAGATATTATATTTCTCGCGAACGCGCATCGATCAGGTTTCGCGGCGGTTGAACGTCTTCTCACCGGTTCACCAACACCGGGCCTCGTAACAACCTCAGAGTTGACATGCTGAAAATTTAACCCGCGTCCGTCTTTAGACCCCGAGGTGGCTCACAGCTCCTCATCTATTATTCGGCAAGTAGCACAGCCTATCTTCGACCTGGCATCCTTAAGAAGCCGGAATAAGTGATGAGTAAATCACGAGAGGTGCCATTTTACCATTCTCGTGTAATTAGAACGCGTGCGTTGTCATTATACACAATATTCTTTCCGAGTTTTTCTTAGAAGAAAGAGAGTCATTCAAAGAGATTATAATTAAAATTATGTAATAATTATTATGCGTGTTGCAAAAGAGGACGTGGTGACTTATTTCGTCGTTTAAAAATAGTTTCTCACGCACGAGAATGATTATTGAAACAGAGTTCCAATAAATCATCGAGTCCACGGTGTAAGTGTTCGTTAATTGACAGCGTCGGCGGCTGAAAATTGTGTCAGTTGCGCAGGCACAAACGAATGTGTGTGTGTGTGTGTGTGTGTGTCGATCGCGACGATCACGGACTAATTTCGTCTGTTCGTCCGGACGAGATTCGCCGTTGTCCACCCGACGCGATGGTTGGTGGTCGGTGGCGGTAATTAGCGCGGACGGACGTGGACACGAACGGGCACTTTAAATGTCCACCTCCACGGGCGAACGCCACGTTGGCTTAATTCGCTTATTATTTAATAAACTTCGGAAGTTTCACCATGCCATCGGCCGAATCTGAAACGTCAGCCAGAGGTCGTCGACCGCGCAGGCCGCGCATTTCGCTTCGAATTTTCGCATTCTTTTCATACAACAGATGACCTTTCTGATGATCCTTCATCGATATTTTTACCGGAGAGAAATTTTCAATCTGTCGCAAGTTGTTTCTTCATAATCGTAAGCACTGCGGGATTCTTTGGGGAAAGCCCAAAGAGATCTTTCCTGAAAACTGATAAATTTTTTACGTACGTACTCTACGTACTTATTTATTAGATGAAAAGAGAGAAACGAGTGGGTAGTCAAGTAAAACACAAGTAGATGATATGAATGTTAATATAGAATATCAAAATGTGAAAGTTTTTATTTGAAAAAGTTTATTGTTTTGTATCGTGTGTTTTTCGTGTGCGACTTTCTTTTGCATTCCACGCGATTCATTTAAAAAAAATTAGGTTTTATATATATATATTTTTTTTTTTTTTTTTTCTTAATCTTCGTTTCATAAGTTTGATCATAAATTTTACCATCGGGTTTCTAAATCTCATTCGGAATTGTTGGTCTTATCGACTGACGGTACAATCGATTTCTCTCCATAGTGTAATACGTTTCCGCTGTAGCGTTACTTGTACTGTGATGAGCACTAACATTCAGAAATTGTACAAATAAAGATAGTTTACAGGAAGATATGCTTTTATAGAGAGAAGAATGACAAGTAATTAATCAGTTTTCATTTTTAAATTGTAAAACATTATCACTATACAATTCTCTTTCGTATCAGCATGGATTCAGTAGTATTGAGAGTATATATTCTGTTGTGCGGATCACAAACTCATTTCTACATTAAACTCATCACTACATTAAAATAAAACTTTACATACTTTCGAGATTTATACCATAGATTCGATGTGTAAAAGTAATTGAATGAAGATAAATCGATACATCCACAAGTAATCTAAAAAATAGAACCAATATTCAAAACATAATGATTAAAAAGCTGCTAGTTTTCTCAGAGTTCATGGAAAACCTCTCGGCCACCCTTCGTTGTTAAGAAAGAGAATCGTTAACATTGATAACACGTCCAGCTGGAAAATTAACGCCTTAATACTCGGCTCTCTCACGCCCTCTTCCTTCCGTTCGGGTCTTCAGGTTTTCATAGCTTCCGCTCCCGACGCTAATAAAATAATAAACACACGTCTAAGCAGAGGGTGTAGACGAGAGGGAAGAGGAAACTACGGGAGCATCCTGGAGGGTGGAAAGAGACGACGTGCATTTCGCACCTGTAAGCTAGACACCGTCGCCCTCTTTTTCTTCGTCTTCCTCGTCTCCTTCGTCCCCTTCGTCTTCCTCATCTTCTTCGTTCTCCTCGTCGTCGTTGTCTTCTTCTTCTTCTCTTCTCCTTCCTCATCACCCTTGCTCCCCCTTCTCCTCCTTCGTCTACGTCGTCTACGTATCTCGTCATCTTCTTCTCCTACGCGCCTCTCGTTTTCCTCCTTTTCCCCACCAGGGCCGTGGTAGAAGGGGCCGCCTTTACACCCCCTTACAATACCTCGGCGTGCATTACATACAACTCGGTTATTTCTCCAGGGAGTTTTCTCGCGTGAATGCCGCGAGAGTACGCACATTTGCGCGCACACCAACGGAGCGAAGCTGCACATGGGGACTGGGCTGTTGCGCGCACGCACACCGCTTTGCTGATCTTGAAGGGTATAGGTCGCGCGGGGCGCGAACGGAACTCACGCAGGAATCTCACACGGAAATTTCGTTCGCCACCGCGGGATTAGCTTTTGGGAATTATTAATTTTCAAGGGGAGTCCTCCGCGAGGAGGAGGGCGCGCGCGATAAAAAAAGATTAGTGACATAATGCGAAAGGGCGGGTGCAAATTGCCTGAAATCATCCGTACCTTCTTCGATGCAGTTGATGTTGCAGTTGACAGGAATGTATCATCGAGTCTGCGCGATTCGCGCTGTAATGGATTCATTGATCGTAGTGTATACACCAGACCAGTGAATCACGCCCTAACCACGCGTCAAGCGCGTGCATGCGCGCGTTCCCTTGTTTCCTATTTTCCTTTTATCGGTATTTTTTATTTTCTTTTACTATTCTATTACTATTGGAGGATAAGCGAAGGATATAGGTCGGTCGTGGTATGTTAGGGACACACAATTCGCCAATTTCCGCGTGCAAGCGTATTGATCGTTGCGCTCGCGATGAATAAAATCTATCGATCGCTACGTTTTTTTGGAAGATAAATTGGATAAACGATATTCTTACGCAGCTTCCTTTTCACACACAGCCTGAGAATTCTGGGACGTTATTTTAATTTCAAAAATGATCCTCTTCTTAAATACCCTAAACAACGGGTAGAGAGACCTTGAGAGACTCCTCGTATATATACGTAATACCGGGATCCTCAATTATGCCGCCGTTCCCCCGCAACGGTTTCATACATATTTTCCAGCACTCTGCTTAATCTAAATTCCATTATCCTTCGATACACCCATGTATCGATATTCCTCATTCGAATCTCGCAACGGTATTCGAATATCCCTCCCCGTAACGGTGTACCGGCCGTTCGTGTTATCCGGGGGTGTGTTGGTGGCGGCGGCGGCGGCGGTTCCTTATAGAGGGACAGGGATGACAGGATGGCAGTCGGTGGTTGCAGACCGGTGTGGCACGCGGCTCCTCCTCCTCCTCCTACTCCTCCTCCTCCATCTCTTTCTTCTCTTCCTCCTGCTCCTTCTCCTCCTGCTCATTCTCGTCCTCGTCCTCGTCCTCGTCCTCGTCCTCGTCCTCGTTCTCGTCTTCGTTTTCATCCCTACCCGCCGCTGCTTCTCTCTTTCTCGCACACGCACACACGGCACCCACGGGAATTTAGGCGAAAACTTTCGCCAGGCCGCCCGAAGGCGAGGAATTCTTACGACGGTGGAAAAGTTTGAGCCGGGCAGCTCAGCGACGTACTTTACCACCCGGTACGGCGATTCCGCGTTATCGCCCGGCTTCGACGACGCTTATCGTTCCGCTTCCTCGGCAAGAGCGTGCTGTTAGAAACGCGCAAGAGGACCGCGCGCGAGCAGCCTCCAGCCGTGGACGTTGCTGTGGCTGGCCCATTCGCCTCAACTACGGATGAGTAATATTGGCTATATGCAATGGGGTGCGATTTATCTCGTGATCTTTTTGTGATACCAAACGAACGTAAACGTAAAAACTGTTTTATGATACCAAAACGAAAGTAACGGGGGCTCAATAACGGGGGAAGTTTCCGACAATTATTGATTACAGCATCAACGGGAGATGGTGGAGGGCAAAACTTTTTCCTAGGCGACGATATCTTCATCGGCATGTATGTATTTACATTTCAAGTAAGAAAATTAGGGGAAACTAGAGTTTTTCTAATTTCCTGCAAGGTATTACAATGAGCAGTGAGAGGTGTCAAAAAGAGATACGCACGACAATAAGATACACACACGCACATGTGTATGTAATTTTTGTTTAATATTGCCGGAAGGCAGTATCATCTTCTACTTATTTCCACTACTTATTTCCGTGGGGTTTCTTCGCAATTTCGAGTTTCATCAATTTCTATTTAAATCCGTCACATTCACATTGTTTGCTCGTCCTAAAAATGAAGAAGGGACAGGCCTTCTGTGGTCGCGGCCCGAATTGGAAATTCGGCCCAGAAGCCTAATGAACGGCGCTTCAGACTCGCATGCCAGCTACTGTGCGTGGCAGGACAACGCACAGCGCCGTTAAATTAATCCGGGCGAAGCTGAGTGCTCGGTAATCATCATTACCCCGACCCGGGCGCCGGATTATTATGTTTTCCGCTCGCACTCCGGCCGTTTCGACGTCCGTCCGCCGACGCTCGTTATGCCTCCGACGTGTCCATAGACACGTGCGACCTATGCGATCGTCGCGTCGTGCATGCGCGAACTAGTTTCAGCTTGACAATCTTTAATCCCGCGATGTGAGATGTGAAATGATATTACTTGCAACGATACGAGTAGTTGTATTATTTTCGTGCTCTTTCCTTACAACTGCTTCTTCTTCTTCTTCTTCTTCTTCTTCTTCTTCTTCTTCTTCTTCTTCTTCTTCTTCTTCTTCTTCTTCTTCTTCTTCTTTATTTCTTCTATATTATAACGAACGCGTTCTCGGATACTTTAGAGATTTTAGATAATTCTTTTATCTGTTTTCCATCATACCGCGCACACATAAACATCCGCACACACAATCTCTTTAATTTCGTCGTAAAGTTTCAAAAACATACGAGATCCAAGCGATGCTTGGAATTATAAATCAGAAACACTGACTCAATATATATGGCTCATGTTTTCGCGGATAAATTAGGGCAAGGTTCGCTCTGTCGTTTACACGATGGCGTGCATGCCCGATCACCCCGGCTAGATAAAACGTACTCGAAGAGAGAAACCGCCTCTACCGTTCGGCATAAGACATTCAAACGGGAGTCTCCGCGGCGTTTATACAAGCGGGGCGCAACCGGTTCTCTCTCTCTCTCTCTCTCTCTCTCTCTCTCTCTCTCTCTCTCTCTCTCTCTCTCTCTCTCTCTCTCTCTCTCTTTCTCTCTCTCTCTCTGCGACAGAACGTGTACATATTTCTCAAATGTTAGCAATACTAGTGCGCGACATTGCGCTATAATATAATCCTGTATTTCGTCCATTTTCGACATTCGAATTAGAATTCGGTTAAAGGTTTATTTGTAATTAAGCAAAATTAACGTGGAACGGTAGATTCAATATTGTAAAAATATACGCAAGACTAATCAAATCATGTTGGTAAATTGATAAGATAATAAGATAATTCAAATCCCCGTAATATGTAATAATTAATTTAAAGTGGCTTTAAGTTTACACACACACACACACACACACACACACACAATTGAATCAAGAGAGCACCGTAATTTTATTCTTTCCGAAATTAATGAACTTGATTAGTCGAATTGCGGGACGTTGGGACGTTTTCACCACGATCACCGTGGAGAAATCACAAACGCGCACGAATGGAAATTTATCCCAGGGGGCGGAAAAAAAATTCTTCTCGATGCAAACAGCAGGATATAATTAAGCAGGATGTAATTAACTAAAAGCAATAACAAAGACAAATAGAGGTGAAAGCGTGAGCATGGATTCGCGAGCAAGATCGTGGGCGATCTCATGACAGCGCGGCGCGGCGCGGGCGCGGGCGGTGCGCGCGTTCCGTATATCGCGGGAAACGAAATACAAAACGGAGTTAAGGACAGACGTACGGACGTACCGCGCACAGGAATGTCCTGTGCGATAAAATCTACCGACCTGCACCTCCGGCTCCCGGCTCCCGGCAGAAAAGGACGCCGAACGTTTCGCTCCCTGTGCGAGGAGGTGGCCATGCGCTCCCGCGCACGTTCCTTCATATTGAAACAAATAGATTCGCGTCGCGAGGATGACTTCTCTCGATCTGCGCCGATGCGCCGGATCGAAGATTAATGCGGCCGATAAGGGGGTTAAATCGGAACACTTAGTCCCGACGCTACCGCGGGGCTATAATTAAACGCGCACGTCGCTCGGTGTCCTCGCGGTGAAAACGCGACTGGCGAGAGAACACGTAGGATGACCGTGACGTAGGATATTCCCTCAGGGGGCTGCACGATTTATGGCTTTTACAAATTGAGACATTACGCTCAAATGAGGAGACTTAAATCTTTACGCCACACCGCGTCCCGAGGAATTTGAATTAATGCGCGGCACTTGTTAATCCTTACAATATGGTAACGTTACCAAATTCATAAAGCATCTTCTTATATATATATATAGGGTGTCTGATCATTTCTAGGGTGTGGACCTTTCTCTCCGCTTCGGATTTCTCAGCGAGGATTACGGACGAAAGCAGTCGTCGTTATTTTCCTACTTTTCCTAACACGTGTACGTGTTTGTACGAAATAATCTGTATCTTCGTTGAGACTAAGAGTGTCAACAGGCGAATCGTTAGTCGTTGTCCAAAATCTTTCGCGTACCTGACTATTACAAATAGAGAACAACGGAGCTTTTGTCGCTCGTCAACGACAGAAATTTACATGAGACGAGAAAGAGATCGATTAAAGGATCGATTATGCCACAGAGTTGCCCGTCCCGATGCCCGTCGACGGTCACCTGGCAGGCAGTAAGCCTGTACGACGGACGTGGACACGCGTTAAGTATCGCTTGCACGACTTTGCGCGTCGTCTAACCTAGATTGACACAATCTGTCACGATCGATTCTTCTTCTTAAGATTCTATTGAAAAAAAAGCTCAATAAATTTAATTAAGCGGCAACGTGCGGCTACGTAAAGCGCCGTAGGTTAAAATAAAATCGTTGCTGTTGGTGTTGACGAGCCTGAACACGGTCACACGGTGCCTTTGGACCATTGCTATGAGATCCCCGCCCTCCGCTCAACGTCCTTCGCGAGAACGTCGTAATCTCGAGTCGCGATTAGAAAACGAGACATTTCGACGCTCCAAAGTTCCTCCCCCCGAGTCGACGTTAAAGTGACGATAAATGGAATTAGGTGACATATCTAGATTATCCAATTGGATCCGACGAGCGTCGCCGATGACGCGACGGCGCATAATCGCGCGGCGACTGCGCGTCGTCGAAACGCCTAAGCGTTCGCGCGATTAGAGAGCCGCGTCGCGGGTCTCTCTCTCTCTCTCTCTCCCCCCCCCCTCACAGAGAGACAGACGATTTAACGACGA